TCTCAGTTCAGCTTCGTTTGCTGAGTGCCATTGATATTACATGCTGTTTCTGTTTTCCTACACCATTTCATTCCATCCACTTCAGTAGGCCAATCAAGACTATATAGGTAAGAGATTGTAAATTCTTAGATTCTGATTAAGTTATTGTCTAACTTAATGATTGCATGGCAGTTCATAATCAATATCACAAATGGTGGCAAAACAGCAGATATAAGATCGGTTTCGCACTTTCATTCGAGACAGCAAGTTTATTGTTTATTGTTGTTTGTTCAGTACGTCATTCGGCATACCGTCAAAACCATGATCATGGTATGTAGAGATGAAAACTCAAACTGAAAAGACTAATTACCATAACATCTTGAAGTCGACCGCGCAAGGATTTTGACGTCTGTCGAGTGAGCCGTAACATTTGGAAACAAAATCGTGGTGTATCCTGCAATAAATAACCTTATTTCAAGTCTTCATTATTTCTAGTACCGAAGCTGGCTGGCAGTAGGCCGAGAATTCGTCTGCTTACTTAGATGAGTGACTACTTAAAACATTATTGTGTGCCCCTTGTTTACCGTATATCGATACCGCATCCCGCCAACCAACTGTTCCATCCTTCCGAGGTCGGGTAATTGATACCAGAGCCTACGATTCTGATTGCAGTTGGAATAGGTCAGCGTGAGAAAACTTTATACATACCCTTTGTAGGGGTACGTTAAGTAGCCATAGTCATCGTTCTATTCCACTACCTTGCTCTCTGGTTCTTTACATTCACGCGACACATCGCAAACACAGGGCATTTCGAGTGTAGCGTTCTTGCTCAAAACGCGAGGGGAACAAAACCGTAATTTATCTCTCTAACAAGGACTGACTGATGAGCTTTTATTCTTCCAAAGCCGTTCAAATCACCTCGCATTTCAGTTATCGTGCTCTCTATCCATACAGTCCTATGAAGGACGATGAGGTGGCGTTAGAAGTGAATGACATCATTTTCGTCGTTGAAAAATGCGATGACGGCTGGTACATTGGTGAGTTTCGCCCTTTTTTTCGAACTGGGCCTTTCAGCTAGTGTCTGAAGGCAGATTTCTGTTGATTCCCAAGTATCGAGTTTTTCCGCTTCTCAATCACACTTTCAGGAACCGTTTTGCGAACCGGGCAGTTCGGTACCTTCCCAGGCAACTATGTGGAAAGGCATTAGGTTTGCAGCGGAGACGATTTTCGAATGAAAACAGATTTGCTTGAAAGAGATTCTATTGTCAATAAATATCCTACTTTATACAACGCGCTAATCTTTGTGTTTGTGTGTGTATGTCTGTGTGTGTCCGACCGGAAATTCATAGCTCCTGTTCCCGTTGACCTAGAACGCCCAAATTTGGTGGGAGTATAGGAGATAGCACAGGGGACACTGATGGCGAGTGGCAGTACCAGACTCCGGGAAAAAAATGCGGGGATTGAGCGAGATGGATGTTTGAGCGGGAAATCATAACTCCTATCTCCGTGGACCTAGAGCGTTTAAATTTGGCAGGATTACTGGAGCCAGGATGTGCAGCGTGTATGATGGGGCAGAAGCGGACCCCACCCATAAGGGGAAGAGGGGTCCGCGCGATAGGAGGACAGGCGGCGGTATGGGAAAACTTATGGTGTGGAGCAGGGCCAAACTCTACCCATGGGGGGCGCGTTTCTGCGAAATAAAAGTCTGAGCAAAAATCCATAATTCCTGAACCCGTGGACTCGGAGAACAAAATCAATAGGGTAGAGGAGGCAGGACGGGAACACTGAGATAGAAGAGGACGTAGAGAACAAAATCTACTTACCAGTTAGATCCTGTTGTTATTTAAGGTTTAGCTTAGACTATTTGGTATGTTTCATCCAACAGTAAGGGAAAGTGCAGTGATAGGGACCGATTATAAAGAGAAGGTATTCGGTTCACTTCTTACTACATATTAGTTTACGACTGCTACCCATCAAAGTTTGCGATTCAATGAAGGACCACAGTCTCTCCCTGCTACGATCTCATTCTTAGCAAAACTTATCCGACCGCTAATAATCTTGGATTCTCATTTGATTGTGTATCCGTAGAGAAAAGGAGCTGCATTTATAAAGACATTTTTGATAATGGTACTGTCATGAATCGACTGTCGGTACCACTAAAGGCTTTGAATGCCTACCAGTTGAACCTTCAATGGGTAATTATTTTTAAGATGAGTAGCAACAGACCGAGACTTCTAATCATAGGCATAAGCATCGGCCATTTAGAACACCCCTTTTTTGCCTTATTGATCCTCTGTTGTTCTACTAAGTATCATTCGTTTTAATATAAATAAATATTATTACAACTCTTTCATCAGAAGGCGGGAACCCGACGTTAGCCGAGCGATCCGACTGGAATGATAAAAGATGAAACGTGTTTCTGCCATCGATGATCGTCAGGCTTCTTTTCACCCCCTTTCCCGAACTAAATGAGACAGCTTATCGGCAATGAGGGGTCCAGGAAGGGTGATCTCACTAGTTTCCAACCTTAGTTTGGTCCTTCCCAGAAATACCATTACACATGGGGCTACAGGAACCCTAAGCCCCGCCATGAGTGGTAAGGACAAATTGAACCCTAGTGAAAGTTGGTTGTGCGGCAGGACCGAAGAAATTCGATCCTTTTCATCATAATCGATTATTAGATCTCATATTATTGTTCTCATATTATTATAGCCTAATCCGGTATTTAAGAGAACCGCTCTGTAGCACTAATACTCAGATCATTCGACTAGTCGGGTGGAGGTGGTGTAGTGGCAAGTAGCTCACTATCTCAATCTCACACGTATCTCTTGACACGGGTTCGAATCTCGGATTGACCTAAGCCAACCAAGCCTCCGATCCCTCCTGGATCGGCTGATTGGCGCCAGACTCGTCTGAGAGAATCAAGGCATTAACTTTTACATTAGCTGGCTGTCGTGACCTTGGCGTGGGCTCCGATTTGAAGATTGCATCAGCGGTGGAGCCCGCAAAAACGCGGCTATAGGATTGCTGGTGCTCACCGCACTTGAGGGTTGTCAGAGTGCGCCTGCGAATGCTCGGGGTGTTTTACTTATATGCTGACGCGGGAACTGGTAAGGCCTCCCAACCCTCCAACCGAGCTGACGGTTGTTGACCGGGACGAAAGAGCCGAATATCCGAGTAGGGTGACTAACTGGGGGACGTCTGGGATGAAACGGCTACCATTAATGCCGGATGACTTGTGCAGAGAAGCGAAACGATGATGATGAGTGAGATATGCGATGTACCGATGTGAAACGATGACACTACTATCAAGTATACTTCATATNGGGAACTGGTAAGGCCTCCCAACCCTCCAACCGAGCTGCTGACGGTTGTTGACCGGGACGAAAGAGCAGAATATCCGAGTAGGGTGACTAACTGGGGGACGTCTGGGATGAAACGGCTACCATTAATGCCGGATGACTTGTGCAGAGAAGCGAAACGATGATGATGAGTGAGATATGCGATGTACCGATGTGAAACGATGACACTACTATCAAGTATACTTCATATACTGCATATTATACGAAAAGGAAATAAACGTGTAACTTCTTGTAAACATGTACAGTCAGTACATGAATACAGCGTACTACGAAAACAAATATAAATAATCAAGATCCAAGAGAACCA